GAATGAGATGAACCGGTGGATTGTGTTCAAGCCTTGGGCGCAGTGGGTGAGGGAGGTAGAAAGGAGTGGGATGTTTGTGAATGAGCTGGGGACGCCGCCTGTGCCGGATCGGTAGGTGGAAGATAATGAGCTTGGTGACGGGCGGGTTATATGTTTTCCTTTGAGTTGGAAGTAGTGGTGTGCAGTTTTCACTTCCACCTATATTGATGTCTTTCATGTTTCTGTCGGAACAGTAGAGCAACGTTCCCTCTAGATGGCCTTCAGGCTAACTCATGAGCATAGAGAAATTGTTCTCGTCGCCCTCTTTGCCGCTGCTTGAGATGGACAGGTGTGGTAACAGGGTGACTGGGATATGAGCTGTCTCTAAGATCTGGAAAATTATTGTTCTCGCTTCCAGATATCGAGTGTCATTCCTTCGTCCCTACATAGTCGTTACCGTTTACAAATCATGAAGCTGATGCGGCCAGACCTCACTTGTAGCCGAAACTACCACATATTCGTGCAAGCATTGCAAATCTTCAGCCAGTAGTCAGCAGCATCTACCTGGCTATTTGACGAAGTCAGTATAAGAGCAGTGCGAATGGTGAATGCTGCAACCGCTAGCAATGTACCACGTGTATGACGCCATCTGCCAAGCCCCTTCCGCTCTCGGGAGCGGAGGAAAGCGACAACGTCCTCCCCAGTCCACCCTCTTGATTGCCGTTCGTCTCCACTCACATCACGTCGAAGTTATACCACAAAAGGAAGCTCATTGGAGTACCAAGACTCTAGCACCCTGATAGACATCAACATGCCTGCGAAGGATGTAGGTATCCGGCTCAACCATTACGACCGATAACGTGCTTGGGTATACATATCACGACTATCATGACAGGGATCCGGAGTAGATGTATATACGAACGTCGCTTGAGCTTTTGCCAGTGATGCATTTCGCGGCTCTTCTTAAATATCCCGCCAGATAGCCTCCACACCAGATTCCGTCGACTGAGAGCACATCGATCGCCATGCGAATCCCATCCAGATCTACATTGGGCTTACTTACAGTTCAAGCAACGACGGTTATTGCGGACCGATATGCCAGCAACATAAGACCTGTCGTGATCGATGCACCACAAGTGGCAGCCAACTTTCCCAATGTAGAAGGCGTTCAGCTACTATCGCCAGCTTTCGTGAACCCAAACAACGTACCAGCTACGTTCGCAAACGGAACTTCCGGACCAACTCCACAGCAAGACTTGGGTATGTTGTTGTACGTCAAAAGCTACAGATTTGCTGACGTTCTGCAGAAAGCTTTGTGAAGGGCATTGCCCAGCGTAACGGCTGGATCACCTACAAGAGTGGACCAGAATCCGAGGAGGGCCGCAGAATACCGTACGTTACATTAACGAGTGGCAAGAACAGCACCAACAAGCTACGTATTTGGATCCAAGGGGGCCAGCACGGAAACGAGCCAGCAGGCGATGAAGGCGTGCTAGCACTATTAGGGAGACTCGCGCATGACTCACAATGGAGCGCGAAAGTCCTCGAAAAGATTGATCTTGTGATTCTTCCACGCTACAATGCGGATGGCGTGGAATATCTGCAGCGACAGCTGGCCTCCAACTACGATCCCAATCGCGATCACGCTGTGCTTGAGAGACAGCAAACCCGAGCTATCAGAAAGCTACAGTCCGAGTTCGACCCTCATATCTTCATAGACGACCACGAATACACAGGTGGCGACCCGGTAGCTCAAAAATACATCCGCGCACAAGATCTCCTAGTCTCAGCCAACAAGAATCAGAACGTTCATCCCGATATTCGAGCGTTAAACCAGGAATTTGTAGACGACATCTTCTCAGTTGCTGAAAGCCACGACCTCCGGATATTCCCATACTTTACGACCAGCGTAGCCAATGGAACGATCACTATCGAAGAGCCTGATGCGACTCCAGCGGCAAACCACAAAGGTGCTGGCAACTACCAGGCCCTTACATTCCTGGTGGAGACGCGTGGTATTGCTATCGCTGATCAGCATTTCCAGCGACGTGTAGCTTCCCACCTCATCGTCCTAGAGACCATCCTTAACAAAGCGGTTGATGAACACGATAGCGTGTACAGCAAAGTTGAGGCAGGACGTAAAGCCTTCATCGAGAGTAGAGACGACATTGTTGTTGCGTACAAACAGCGTGTCACAAACAAGACAGTTCCCTTCATCGACGCGTCGAACGGTTCCCTCGTCAACGTGCCCGTCCGCTCTAGAAACAGTGATCCCTACCTTGTCACTCTGTTCCGACCTCGGCCGAAAGCCTATATCTTCTCGCGCGCATGGACAGATGTAGCGGAACGTCTCCGCATACTCGGCGTTACCGTCGATGTCCTCCAAGAAGAGTTCACCGGCAGTGTTGAAGCGCTGGTGGTGACGTCGGCTGAGCTGGCTGAAACAAAGTTCGAGGGCATCGCGGGTACTACAGTAACGACTAATGCGACACAGCGGGAGGTTACGATATCCGCTGGAGGCTACTGGGTTGACACTAAGCAGAAAAATGCTGGGTATGCTTTTGCGCTGTTAGAACCAGAGGCAGAGGCGAGTCAAGCATATTATAACAAAATTCCGCTGGAAGTGGGAGATGAATATCCTGTATTTAGAGTTATCTAGGGATATCTGGATGCTTTGATGGAACAACTGCTCCATTTACGTACTAAGACGTGCTTTGAGTGCCCTTCTCCGCCTGACGCAAACCCATCTTCACCATCGGACTCTGCATCAACGTATCCCAGTCGTGGATGAACAGTGTCTGTTTGAGCGAGATGTTCATCTCTAACATACCCCGCTCGAGGATCTCAGCATCGTACTCATCAACAGCTTGTTTGAGATCCTGTCCCTGCTCAGGAGAGCCATGAACTTTACGCATAGCAGCGACGAAATTAGCAGCATCTTGCAACGCGTTGTTGAGGCCTTGCCCTCTATGCGGCGTCATGGGATGCGCAGCATCACCACAAAGTGTCATCTTCCCACCCTTGTTGTCCCATTTGGCAGCCTTCTCCCAGAACGTGCCTTTGTCAAGTGGAAGCACGGTAGCAGAATCAACAGCTCGGCCAGCAGATCGCCAAGGCTCCGCATATTCTTCTGTGCGCCTCTTGAAGAGCGACATGCGTCCTTCAAGGGTGGACAGATCCATATCAGCGGGCACACTAGAGTCCAGCCACGATTGCAGGACCTGGAATGTCCATGTTGCAGGGTCGGAGGGGTCAGGCACGTCTTGTATGGATAGCCAGAACATGGTGCCGTGGCTTGGGTGTATGCTTGTAATGAAGAGGGGATTCATGTCTCGTATGCGCTTGGCGAGGTCGGCATCGAATTTGTAGGGGAAGTTGAACATGCTGACAGATGCATTGGTGAGTTTTGCTGCTTCTGTGCCGACAATGGCTTCGCGAACTCGCGACTTTGCGCCATCGCAGCCTACCAGCACATGGCCAGTGGCTGTACTGCCGTCTTCGAATGTCACCCTCACCTTGTCATCGTCATCAACCACTGCACTAGCGAACTTCTTCCCGTATTGCACGTCTAAGCCCTCGCTGAACAAGTTACGCATCTTCCTACGGCTAACGCGACAAGGCTTGTCCGCTGCGATTTCGAATATGCGCTCGCCCGTCTCACCGTTGAACACCGATAAGCCTGTGGCGGAGGCTTGGTCCTGGGTCGGGTCGGCGAAGGCTTCGTGGATGCGGTTTGCGAGTTCAATTGGCAGACATGAAGCGATGTGGGAGCTCCCCCAATGTAGTGTCATGCCCCATTCTCGCGGACGTGTCTGGTACGTTGTCGAGGTCTCGGTTTCAAAAATCGAGAAAGATATGTTTGCCTGAGTGGTGGTGGTATTAGTGATGTGGGCGTTGGATGACTATGCGACTGAATCGTGTACCTTCTTCAGACCCTGTGCGATGAGCAACCCGCTTGTTCCAGCTCCTACGATCAGGATGTGGAGATCATTGTTCCCGTTTGCAGCCATTGCTTTAGTCAGCACCTTGATAGGAGACTGAGTGCTTTCAGACAGGAAAGAAAGCTGGCATCATCGTCGGGGGGAGAGACGACATGGCCGTGCCCGCGGGAGGCCCATCAGTCTGCATTTTACCCGTCCCGCATCTTGACTATCTTCAAGAAGATGGATATGGCTAGGAGCGCTGGGATGTTCGGCATGTGGGATGTAATGGGTATCTTGTCCGTGCGCCAGGCCTAGCGCGTTTTTACCACGTGCATACGGTTTCGCGATTACGCTAATCCGTCTTTACTCAAACCACATCTCTTGCTTCCCACACCAGCGGGCTCACGTTGACATTCAGACACGCTTTGTCACGGCTCTTACTGATTGATTGTTACTCGGAGTACGGCCTTGGATCATGAGGCCTACCAGCGTCGAGATCGCTGCGTGTGTACCAACGCGTAGAGGCTGCATGCCACGCAGCCTTGTGGCTCTAATCACTTGGTAGGATTCGCCACACGTCAGGCGCAAATGCATCTACGTGTAGTTCGATTGGCGACTTGCGCTGAAGGTTCTTGTTGTTAACACATAGGCGAAGTACCCGATAGCGTTCATGACCACCCTTTCTGGTTGTTGGAGCTGACCTGTGTTCGAATTCACGTTTGAAGAAGTAAGTCACAATGCTTAACGAACTTTGGTGGAATCGATGAGCGTTAGGGGCGATTGGAAGGGCGTGCTGTCCTCGCAACGTACATTGGGCCAATGAGTCGGCCTGGTTAAGCTTCACTACGCAGGATCATGCCGCATCCGTGGCTGTCAGACTACCACCAATCACTCTATACCAGCGGTTTGGCTCACCGGTGACGCAACGCGGCAGGGTCGCTAGCCTTGGTCATCCCCACATCCGCTGTCACCATCCTTTTGAGACATCACCTATGCTTTACGAGTGAGCCTGTCGTGGAGCCTAGTGAGCCTTAGTGTCTTGTGTCATAGAATCGAAATCCAGACATTACCGAGATGACTTCCTCAACGCAAACAATTATGGCGCTCTCGATCATCGCAGGCACCGGCGGCCTTCTCCAGCTAGGCTTATCGATTTCAGACATAGCCTTGTGTGTTGACTTGGGCAAAAAGTTCGGCAACTTCGTTCGAGCAGGACAAAACGACAATGACCTATTTGAAGTCCTTAATGAGGACCGGGAGGCCCTATTCAGACGGCGTGGCCTCGTAGACGCAGTTGAAATGGAGAAGAGATGGCCTCAAGTACAATTCGTTCACCGCGGCACGAAGAAAAAAGGCAATATCATGGAAAGTCCGCCTCCTGAATCGCCATTACTGAAGACGAATCATAGGAAAAAGAGAGAAGATACTAGTGGTGGGGTGGACAGATTCACATGGATCATGGTCGCAATTGTTTCCGCCTTAGACGGGTGCTTACCATCAAGCGTCATACAGGAACTACTCATTCGAGTCTTTGTTGAGGTTTTGGCTCGCGAAGATGACATCGTACCTGCGTTAAGAATAACCATCAAGAAGAATGTTGAGTCGTGGAGATCTTTCGGGTGTGCTAGAAACATAGCGTTCTCGATCAAAAATGAGATGCACAAGAGCCTATCCAATGGCGAGCTCGATCAGCACCCGATCCAGGCTATCCTTCAGTTAAACGAAGCAGAAATGGCAGATGCGCAAAACTTTCTTGTTTGGCTTCTCAGAGGAGACTCGACAGTATTTAGCGTTATGTCTCCCATCACCTTCTCCATTGCTGAGGCCTGGGAAAAGGTCAAGCTTGATCTGTGCACCGGTGGACACCCTACACACGAAGGACAAGCTTGTGTGACATATCACCGCGAAGGCCATATAATCGGAGGATCTAGCTCCAGTACAGGTCCAATTCCAAGAGGACTTGGCTCAAGGCCCCTCCAGATTTCCTGGCCTCGCGACAGACCAGAATCGATGATAGACGTCCTGGGGGTCGGTCGTCCATTGGAGGAAGCTATGTTACAAGCCTGGGACCGTGGAACGAAGGCCGCCGATCACCTGGCATTGGTTGGCAAAGCGGACCTGCCATTCGAATCCACAAGCGAGGTATATTATACCCTTGAAGTCTCCTCTGGTGCACAAGTCAGCAGACGGTACGGCTCGCATATTGGCATGCTCGCCGATCAAGGCCTTCCCACAGACACCGAGAAGATCTTTGAGACGTTGGAGTGGATTCTGGTAGGAACGCCGCAAGACAGCTCTCGATGGCTCCAGAATCATGTTGCACCAGACTACCTGCTTCGAGTTGATGGCGCAGCCGTGTTACGCGATGTGGAATACACCCAGGTGTTCTTCAAGTATCAAGCTTTCATCTTTGGATTCTACTACCGACTCCTACGATCAATTCTATGTTTCGATCTAGTGGAACCCGCGGCTTTCTTCCACGGCATCTGGGGTGTACACAGTACTACGTTTCTGGCTATGTGCACTCAGCTGGGTCAATCCTTGCGGAGAGACGAAAAGGTCAGCCGGGCTCATATGCTTTATGTGCTGTCTGCGATGTATAACGGTCGTCGCAAGATCTTCAGTACCATGTCACCACTTCCTCGATTAGTCGGTGTTCTCGGACCCATCTCGGTACTGGCGCTACCTCTTGTTCGTACAACAGACGACCCTGATAGTATCTCGAAGATCGCTGTCGTTGACCTTCCAATCGTCGATCTAAATGCCGAAAGCGCAGACGGAGATCTGATGGCCAGCGAAGGTGGGGGAATGCACTTCAAATGCCCGTCCGAGTGCGACCGCGCCGCCACCCTCACCCGACCAACTGGCCCAACGCATGATTGGGCAGTGTATCCATATATGAGCATGGCATTGAGTGGGGAAAGCACCAGCGGTGTAGTTATGGCTGCCCTATGCGGCAAGAGGCTTGTTGGGTGGTTCAATCCGTTGGCTGCGGATATCTCGTTCCTCAGTTCAGCTTATCTGCGAGAGTCGCGTAGCGAAGACGATGTGGTTGCATTCGAAGTAAAGGACGAGCATTGGGTGAATGGTGAGGCCCTTCAGCCAGATCCAGGTCACGTAGATTTCGCGTTCGGCGTCGTGCACTCGCATGGCTCGCCTAGTCTACGGTACGCTGCGGCTGGTTTCTACGCTGAAACAGGCGAAGAAGTGGTAGTTGCTCGGTCTGCCAGTGAATTTTCCGGAGCTTTTGGCAGAATAGAAGCACAAGGTCAAGGTATAGTGATCGCATAAAAGCTATAGGCATCCATATACTTCTAGCTTCAATAGCACTACAGTTTGCTTCCGCCCATTGCCTTCACTACAAAGCCTAGCCTGGGAAAATGAATTCTGACATCTAGCTCCCCCATCTCTTCCGGCTTGATGACCACCTCTTCGCTTCTAATCTTGACCAACGTACCCATCGTAGGATTATCACGGCCGGTGTCATCAGGCACGATGCTTACACTCACTCCTGGAACCAATCCTCTGGAAGTATCAAGGGCGATATGCTGTCCTACCGCCGTAGGAACAAGCAGGTCTTCATCGCGAAACAAAGTTGTTTGTCTCAGCGCGTCTTTCCACCGAGTGTCCTCTCCGAGAACTGTTGTTTGTATGTCCGGCAAAGCGCCGATGTATGCTTCAAATGCATCGAACCACTTGATCAAGTTTGGATACCTCTTCTTGTTGAACACTTGTCCCACAACATCATCATTCGTATCATCCGTTCCACCACCACTTAGATTATTGATACCCTTGCCAGCAGCGATATCAATGCCCCATCTCAACTGATAATACAAACTGATGTCAGCGAGCGAAGGCGTCTTCGTCGGCGTGGCCCAAGTACCCGACCCAAACATAGGTTCCAACATGGAGAGGTGCAAATCTAAATTGGAAAGATGAATTGGTATCTTAGACTGCAGCTTCTCAGGCGAAAGCGGATGTCCAATGAGCTGAGCGCGATCTTTACCAAAGTCTGATGCCCAGACAGAAGAAGGTATAAATCCGGTAGTCGTCCGAAACAGCGGTTTGTCAGTCCAAAAGCTCGCGAATCCTCTTACGAGCCCACGATACGCCCATCCGCTTACACCCTCGATCGGCGGATACACGGCAGCCCAACCTTTGTCCACTGGGAAAAAGTGCTCTAGTGCCTCGATGATGAGCGAGGTGTCGCAGTAGATCTCCCTGCCGATAGCGAGGATGGGTATCTTGCGGTACTGGAGGCCGAATGTTGATGTTATGAGGGGTCTGGGTAGCATCGATGGGACCGTGACATATGCTTCGGGACCAGTGATTAGTCACGAGATCTATGTGCTTCGATCATCACGAGCAGGGAGAAGTCTTACAGAATGGTATCTGCTTGATGCGTAGTGCTAGTCTGACTTTGTTTGTGAAAGGGCTAGAATCATAGCCGAAGAGGACCACAGGTGGATGATCAATTGGTTGCGCCATGTTGCCTATAGGGAAGAGATACAGACGCAGCTCTCATAGGAAGGCGTTCAATACGGCAAAGATATAAAGAAGTCGGTAATGTCGGGTCGAGATGAGGTTATACCCCGCGCTCTGCTCAAGAGCCGAGGTTCTAGTCAAGAGGCGAGAGAACGTATGCTTTGTGTACTGAGTCTTTGTTAATTGTTGTACGTGTTCTGATGAAATCTACCCTCTAGGCCAGAGTCATGATCTGCATTCAGAGTCCAGATGTAAGCCATAGCGACCCCATCTTATCTCGACCAGTGCACAAAACTGGAACGACAATATTTTGGGGTTGAAACATGCTTTTGCTGTGGTATCGAAATCATGTCCGTAATCTACCATAATGTGGGACGCCAAACTCCAAGACTATCTGAATGGTGCGCCAGAGTCCTACTCGTCAACATCCATAGCCTCAACACCGCCACCAACCTTCCTCTTCATCATCATCTTCTTAGTCTTGCTCCTCGTCTTGGGTGTCGTCTCCTCAAGCTCACTGAGCTCGCTCTCCTCAGCCTCGAGCTCCTTCCTCCTCGCTGCAACCTTCTCCTTGACCTTCTGCACGTCGACCTCCATGTCTTCCTGCTCAACCTCCTCCTTGGCGAATCGCTCGCTCGGCGGCAGCAGATGCTGATTCTCCTCAACCAACTTCCTGTCCTCCTCACGCTGTCTCTGCTTGTTGCCACGCATGCGGGCCTTGTAGAAGGCGCGCTCTCTCCTCTGCCGGATCTCGGATACACGGCCCATGGCCTTGAGGGTGGTCTGGATGAGATCGCGGTTGTATCGCACGGGCACGTTGCGGCGCTGAGCGAAGGTGAGGGTCGAGTCGACGGTCATTTCCTTGTTGTGCGCGCGACGGAAAGACTTTGTCCAGGCGAGCTTGCGGGGGTTGCGCTTCATCTTGAAGTTCTTGTGGCATTTTGATTTGCAGAAGCGGAAAGCCTTGGCATCATTGCGCACTGTGCAGGTTAGGCAAGAGCTTTGTTAATGCGATTTCGGGTCTTCATACCGAATGTTATGCCCTTTGACGGGTATACGGGCGAAGAGCAGAAGTAGCAGGTTTCGATTCTCATCCTGTCGTTGTGGCGCGAGTACGGTCGCGCTCGGTGCTATGGCAAGGAAGGAATGCGATTTGGTTTGCAAGGGTCGACCACGCTTCACAGGTGTTGGCGGTGGTGAGGCGGCGTCGTGGAAAAGGTGTGGAGTTGAGGATCGAGAAGTTGGGCCGGCTCGAAATTTTGGGTGGCCCGTGCACATCTACCCACCTGCCATTCTCGCCCGCCAATTGCGATGCATCTCGACCGAGACACCTCCGCAAATTTCCTTCCCACCACCTCGCCGCCGTCGTTGACGCATCCATCTGGCGTCGCCCCAATCTCCGCCTCCGCATCGCGCACATCCACCACGTCGAATCTCGAGCAACCGAAACCACTTAGTACGACCGACACAATCACGAGACATGTCTGCCTGGGTCTGGATCTTGGGCGCTGGTGCCACTGCTTTCTTCGTATGGCTCCCCCATCTTTGCATAGGCAGTTACGGCCGACTTGGTTATGGAGCTGCAGGAACAGCTCGGAATGTCAAGGAGAACATGTACTGACAGATGCGAACAGGGCCGCGCAGCACTCGTGGCACTACGGAGATCAGGTGGTGGTGCTGGGGCATTAGGACGTGGATACTACAAGGGCGGCTTTGAGCCCAAGATGACACGGAGAGAAGCTGCGCTGATATTAGAAATGCCGTATGTCGACAAATCCACACAGCCCACCAAGAGCACACGAGACTGACAATACCCCAGCGAACGCGGCATCACAAAAGAACTCCTACGCAAGAAGCACCGGTCGCTCATGCTTCTGAACCACCCGGATCGAGGCGGTAGCCCATACCTGGCTACCAAGGTCAACGAAGCGAAAGAGCTACTCGAGAAGGAGGTTAAGGGATGAACAAGAGGGGGATGATGTGTATACCAAGACTTTGTACTATATCACGGCATGATTCTCAGCATCAGCATGGCGTTGGACTGAATACGATTAGCGATTTACGACTCTCAACACGTTTTCTTTGGTTCCAACTTTATTCAATTACATGTGGTGAACATGTGCTAATCGTCATAGTTTCCACGAGCGCGCTACAATATCGTCTACACTGGCAACACAACTTTGACTCCCATGTACTCTCGCTGATGCATGATCTTACCATCAATGATGACTTGGTGCACGCCGACACGATTGTGAATAGTGTCTGTAGGATCTGTCGCCGTAGCGATCTGAATCTCACGCCACTCGCGATTGGTAGGAACCAGTTCGCCCTGTAATGTGCGCTTCTTGAACTCTTTGTAAATACCCTGGTCCTCAACACAACCTTCACGCTGTATCAGTGGCGAATCTGCGATAATCATTAGCATCTCGGCTTGCAGGCGACTAGAAACTCGACATACTGTAGGCAGGCGTCATGCGCAGACTGCCAAGAGAACTGTTGAATAACACGAGTGAGAGGCGATCTTGGTTCAACTGATCCACGGGCGGCTTAAAAACCCGGTGTCTGGTAGCCTTGAAATGCCCGCCCGAAACGATCTCCAGCGTATCACCGATATTGATGACGAGCGCACCAGGCTTGTATGGCACATAGTACCACTTCTCATCCTGTCCCCAGATCTGCAAGCACGAGATCGGGACAGAGAATAGGAGCGTCGTGAGTCCAAAGTCGGTATGGCCATGCATACGCAGACCTTTGGACGCTTCCTGTGTCTGCTTCTGTACTGGACGGAACAGCGCATGGCGGAAGTAGCCCTCGCCTGTGGGTCCATCATGAGACTGGATGTTGTCCCAGAGGTAGTCGTCGGGCAGTTCGAGCACTCGAGAGAAGAGAGTCAGAAGACGGCGATTAACGGATTTGGTGAGGTAGTTGCAGAATGCTTCAATCTCATCCATGAATGGGTGCAGGCATTTGGGCGTACGGCTCATGTCTTGCCAGTCGGGTTTGTACCAGTTGAATTGCTCGATGCCATCGGGGGTTCCACGGTGACGCTGGCCTTGTTGTTAGTCTTCCAGCATTGGTTGATATAAGGCATGATGCTAACCTTGAACCCATATGGATGCTTGTAACCGGACCATACACCAGTCTCTGGGTTGAAGAGCAGACGCTCCTTGTCTTCTTCACCTATGTTCTCGTATAGATACTGTGCAAGAGCGAACTGTCTGTGCAGTTGTTGTAGGGAGACGCCGTAGTTCTCCAGGAACAGGAAACCATCTTCTCGGATAGCTCGCTTCACCTGCCCAACGAGGTCATCCACAACTGCTGGATCATCAGAGTCCATTAGAGACAAGTCGATGGAAGTCAGCTCGGCAAAGTCTTCTTTCTGCTGAGTGACTGGTGGAGGAACCCATTCTGGTACGAAGGGCTTGCCAGGAAGATTGGCTGATGGGGGATTGAACTTAGCGGCGGGTGCCATGACGATTGATGTATCGATGGATCTATTGAAGGTATCGTGTATAAGACTAAGCTGATCGCTGCATATCCTTTGAGCTTGGAAATTGAGTCCTTATGTTCTTGAGGCAGATCCTAGTGTAACCTCGCAGCTGTCGTCAGGTCCGGTTTTCAAGGATCGAGCTCCTCCTCCTCAGCCAGAACCATCATCTCATGGATGGCTCAAAGGTCATCATACGACTGTATACGGTCCGGCAACTGGGGGCCGCGGCCTTTGCTAGTAAACGCAATCAACAAAGCGGTTGAAGCTCCGACTATGCGACTCGAGTCCGGATTATCACCTATCTCCGCCTCCACCT